TATTTGTCTCTCTCTCTTTCTCTCACTCAAATATAATAAACACTAAAAAAAACCCCATTATTCCTTTGAGAGTTATCTTTCTGAAGCTTCCAAGCATACATGAAATATACATGTTAATATTTTTTTTCTGAATTTGTCTTGTATTACACTGGTCTCAAGCCAAGAACTAAGAAGGGTAGAATAAAAATTTTTTTTCTTCCCCTACACAAACCTGACTTTGTTGAAGGTTTGACTTCAGTCTGGCTGACTCTTTGTCCTATGCTTCTGACTTACTGTGCTTGCTTTTTTTTTTTTTTTTTTTTTTAAGGAGTGTGAACAGGGGAGAGGGAAAGAGAAAAAGTCTTAAGCAGGCTTCATGCTCAGCATAGGGCCAGACGCAAGGTCCATCCCACCACCCTGGGATCATGTCCCGAGCCAAAATCAAGAGTCAGATGCTCAGGGGCACCTGGCTGGCTCAGTTTGTTAAGCATCTGACTTTAGCTCAGGTTATGATCTTACAGCTCATGAGTTCTAGCCCCACATCGGGCTCTCTGCTGTCAGGGCAGAGCCTACTTCAGATCCTCTGTTCCCTCTCTCTGGTCTCCCCTCTCACTTACGTGCTCTTTCTCAAAAATAAACTTGAAAAAAAATCTTTTAAAAAAGTCACTCAATTGACTGAGCCACTGGGGCACCCCTGTGCTTATTTTTAAAATATAATGTTATAGCTTTAGTCCGAATATGACCCTTCCTATAAAGTCTAGGTGCCTGGTTCTCCTGATATATTTTATTTTTGACAAATCAGTAACCTAATTAGTCAAGAAGAATATGCCACAATTTTCAGTTTTATCTGGTATTCATTATTATATTATTCTATGTATTCTTAAGTTTTGTTTGTTCCATGGTTTTTACTCTGGATCGAGGTTGATCTCAGCCCTCATGGTAAGATCAGCATTGTATTTGGAGAGAACAGAAAAATGTCTGCTTTTATAGGGCTTATGTACCCTTTTTCATCTCCTTAATCAGTCTTTCTTAAATTTCTTGGCTTGTTAAAAAAAGTTTTCCCTAGTCTATTAGTAATAATCTGTTATAGTTTATTGAGTTATATATATCACACTTCATATGCATTATCTTTAAACTTTATAACAAGGTAAAAATTATCACATTTTAGTGATGAGAAAAGACTGGGTAGTATTAACTTGCTCTAAGAATAGAGAGTACAAAAAAGACCAATAGGTCTGATTTTGCAAATTTATGGTTTGAAACAGATGTGACTTAAAAATTCCAGGGTCAGAATTTGAACACAGATCTGGTCTAGACCATATGTCCCCTTCCAGATATATTTGTGAGCACAGCCTGTGGAATCAGATTGCTTGGCTTCTAATCTCAGCTCCAACAAATTAATAGGTGCATATTTCACAGGGTAAGATAAAGTGAGGAAAGAGACCCTGTCAAGTAAAGATATGAAATAGGAAAGAACAATGCTGCTTACTCTAGTTTTGTTGAAGCTACTATTCCCTAAGAGTTCTTCCATCAACTCTGAGAGGATGCAGGATGATGCCCAAAGACAATCAGAGGCAGGAATAAAGGAATAGTAATTTTAGTTCCCTCTCTCTACGTAACTTTATTTTGTCTGTTTCCTTATTTATTTATGAGAGAGGGGGAGAACAAGCTGGAGAGGGGCAGAGAGAGAGAGCCCAAGCAGGCTCTGTGCTGTCACTGCAGAGCCTGATGCGGTGCTCGATCTCACAAACTGTGAGATCATGACCTGGCCTGAAACTAAGAGTCAGACGCTTATCAACTGAGCCACTTAGGTGCCCCTAGAACCTTTTTATTTTTTTATTTATTTTGAGAGAGAGAGAGAGAGAGGAAGAGAGAGACTGTGAGCAGAGGAGGGACATAAGGAGACAGAGAGAGAATTCCAAGCAGATTCCATGCTCTTAGCGTGGAGCCGACAGGGGGTTCCATCTCACAAACTGCGAGATCATGACCTGAACTGAAACCATGAATCAGACACTTGACTGACTGAACCACCCAGGAGCCCTGAACTTTTATGCTATAGGAGAAAACTGATTCAATAACCCAACTTATTTATTTATTTATTTATTTTTTTTTTTAATTTTTTTTTTTTAATGTTTTTATTTATTTCTAGGAGAGAGAGAGAGAGAGACAGCGCGAGCAAGGGAGGGTCAGAGAGAGAGGGAGTCACAGACTGAAACAGGCTCCAGGCTCTGAGCTGGCAGTCAGCACAGAGCCCGACGCGGGGCTCGAACCCATGAACCGCGAGATCATGACCTAAGCGAAAGTCGGACGCTTAACCGACTAAGCCACCCAGGCGCCCCCCAACTTATTTATTTAAAGGACAGGCAAACAATAACAAAGGAATTTAAAAATTCCTCTAAATAAATACTCAACTTCATTTAAAGTGCCAAGAAAATCCAGATGAGTAAGACATGATTTCTGTTCTTAAAAGCACAATCTAGCTTAATTAAGTGCTACAATGAAGGGAGGTAAAGAAAACACTATGTATTACGGTTAATTCTGTTTAAAGGGCTGTGGTGTCCAAGAAAACTTTCACAGAAACGGCAGACATTAGCCTGATTGGACATTAAATTGTTGGACAAAAGCTTCACATTAGGGCTGGCTTGCTGTAAAGATAAAGTGATCCCTTTTCAGCTCTTTTCTAACTTCGTTTTCTTTTTCTTTTTCTTTTAAATATTTTTATTTATTTCTAGCAGACAGAGAGACAGCGTGAGCAGGGGAGGGTCAGAGAGAGAGGGAGACACAGACTCTGAAACAGGCTCCAGGCTCTGAGCTGGCAGTCAGCACAGAGCCCGACGCAGGGCTCGAACCCACGAACCGCGAGATCATGACCCAAGCAAAAGTCGGACGCTTAACCGACTAAGCCACCCAGGCGCCCCATCTAACTTCATTTTCTAAGAGGATAAAAATATCAGATATAATGAATCTACCACTGGGATCCAGTAGTTGACTACAGTTTAGAGTTTACTGGTTTTCTGTTTATTGCCTCTGGGGTATTTTAAAATACATCTTTATCAATCATTGGTCCATTAAGCATTTGACTTCTGCTTCGGTCATGATCTCACAGCTTGTGGGTTTGGATTCTGTGTGTGTCTTTCTCTCTCTGCCTCTCCTCTACTTGTGCTCTGTCTCTCTTTCTCTCTCCTTCAAAAATAAACATTAAAAAAAAAAGTTCATCCAATTCTAAGAGTTAATCCTAGAATTCACAATTCTAAAAATGTGAATCAATGTCATCATTCCATGTCTCCATTTTTCCACTTTGTAAGAAGTACCTTAATGAGATGAATATACATAACAAAGACTATTTGGTCTAAATATCAAAGTTTATTGAAATAAAATATAATCTATAATAAAAAATACTAAGGGTGTTATCACTGGTTACAGTTTTAAGTATATGAACAAAAAATCCAACATTTTAATCCAAGAATGACACTATCCTTGTGGTACAATAACAAACATGAAATTAAATGTTGAATAATACTGAATAATTCTATCAAGAAATATTTTACACTTTCCCATCTATGTTCAATATGCCTTTTTTTAAGGAATATCCTCCAAAAGTGAAACTTTTGGAATAAAATGTTTAAGACATAGTTTTTAGAATTAAATAATTTTAACATAATTAGCATTTAAAACAATAACTTTCTTTCATAGAAATTCAGTTGAATTCTAAGCTGGGTAGATGCTTTTAGGTGTCATTTGAAAAATGTATTTCAATGCTGTTTCGTATCAATCTCTAGGGTTGCTATTATTCGCAAACTGGAATTAAAGCTGGTCATAAAGCAAAATGGATGAATTGTTTCAGAAGTAGAAAGGGCATTACAATAGTAAAGAAAAGGAGAAAAGAATAGGTGCTCATACACAATCTAGATATTTAAACTTTTTGAGAACTCTACTTCAACTGGCCGATCTTGGCCTAGCACAAAGAGATCTATATGTCATAGCAACTTCCTGACCCAAAGAGTTGGACAGTAAAGTGGAGGAAGAAAACTTGTTTCTTCTTGCTACATTTCAGAATCACTTGCTCTGCAATCATTGTAACATTTCACTTGCTATTCCCCAAAATATGTGCCACTTCCAATTATTCTGCACAATTCAAGGAAAATGACTCACATGCGCTAACTTTAGGAAATGACTTTCAGGTACCTCGGAAGTTTCGTAAGTGAAGATTATCCGGTTATCCCTTTTGCTGACTGCTGTGTAGCAATCATACGTCAGTCTTCTATGATATTGTCCTAATTGTGATGTATGGATCTGTGAAAACAGTAGTTGTCGTTTTATTGAGGAAAATTGCCTTTTAACAGAAACCATTGGAAGTTTTTCAAATCCTTATCTTTAAAAATCTGTAGAACTATGATATCTACTGTACTCTGGAAAATAATGATTACTTCATACAACTAAGATGTGAATAGGAATAAAAACTGACAAAATTGAGACACATCAGACAGATCTTCAAAGATTAAATACCAATCTTAGTGTTTAAATATATTCTATTAGTTAGAACCACTCTGTCGGGTATTTTAGTTATAATGCCCATTTGGACAGGTTATTGACGTGGGAACTGAAATGGGCATTTGTGTTTCCTGACTTCCTGTTTAAAGCTGTAACTACTACCAAAGAAGCCAGCATCACTATCAGAAGAATTCTGCTTTGTATATCTTCTCATCTAGGAGACATCTCTGCCTCTCAAAGCAAGATATTGTAGTGAATGTGGATATAAAATTTTTAAAAGTAATGACAAATTATTAAGTGATTTGAAAAAATTCTTAAATTCTTAAAATGAAAATACCAGATAAATAGAGGCATTGAAGAATAATAAGAGAACTTTTAGTCTTTTAAGTCTACTGTGATTTAGAGTTTAGGGTTTTTATTTCTGCCATGGTATTTCAACACCTTATCTGGGATAGTACCATGTTCTAAAAAATACTGTTATAGACAGAGAAGTCTAAATCTCAGGACAAAAGGACAAACCCGAACTTGAATCAATAGTTGGAAAACTTTTACCCAATTTTTAAAATTTAACGTTTTTAGATCAGAAAAGTGAAATTAGAAATTAGAATACTTTATGTAAAAATACATATGCATAGCACAATGTATAAAACTCTAATTTCTAACAGCAGAGACACTGGGATTAAGTAAGAGACATGCATGAATTAAAATTAAGATAAGTCTTCAAAAGAAGTTAAAATTATTAGGGTCCTGCAATCTGTCCCTCAGGCTACATTATCTCTTTTGTAATCTGTTTGGCTAACAAGACTTTGATCTTAAACTTTTTGTTTTAAAGTGTCACCTGAGAAAAGTACCCTTGATTCTGCATAAGATTTTCTCAGTAGCTATAATATTATTTAAAAAAAATAAATAAAACACCACTATATTCCCAGAGAACCTAAGAATTCATCCATGCACAAAAGTTTACTTGTATGTATTAGCGACCTGATAGCAATGTACTTTGTAACATGGAAAAAAGGCAGAGAGAATCTAAATATTTAGATACATGAAAGATGCTGGAAAAAATAGACTTTTAATGCTTTTTATACTCCCCAAATTCTCTTGATTTTGATCCTATAGTCCATAGAACACAAAAGCAACCGCAGAATACATTTTGGGAAGAGATAATGCCATACTCAAAGATAAGGCAATTTTACAAATTTTAACAGCATTAAAGAAAACTAGACTTTAAGAAATATTGTCATTGGGAAAAAGACCTGCACACTCAAGAACAAAAACTTTAATATTTATGATTATTTAAGTAATACTCTGAGCTTACACTATTGTCCTTTATTCAGGAGTGTAAAGCTCTGAAAAAATGAACATCCTTTACATATTTAAATTGAGGCATAGAAAATTTGTCCATGAAAAGATAAAAGCCAGATTTTTAGACATAAAACAGTTCAAAATTCCACATTTCCAGTTCCTTAAAATACAAGTTATGTACTATCTTTAATGGCCTCCATGTTATTTTATCAAACATTAGTAAATTTACAATTACAGTTTAAGTTGTATGCCCAAGTATTGTATGATAGACAAAGCCTGTAAGTTTTCTACCATATTTTAAAATAACTGGTATATTTAATAGGAAATTAAGTGAAATGTAATCATTTTGCTTTTTTTTCTTTTTTGCTTCAAAGCAATTTTTTTTTAAATAAATGAGTTTGAGGATAGTTCTGGAAATTCTTGCCTTGAATATATTTCTCCAGTAGGACTTTATAAATATCAACTTAATATGCCAACATTAATATAAGGATTACAATTCTTTCCTTAAATATCTATTTGACTTCTAATCCTCTTTTCTCTCAAGATCTTTCTTAATGACCTGCACTGGTGTTTCAATAAAAACAAAGTGTTAAGGTTTTATGCAAGTACAAAATGGTTAATGTTGGGTTCAGACAACTAATCTCCAATAATAACTTGCTTAATTAAGCTAAGATCAAGAAGTATGAGGAAGAATCTGAAACATAATATGGGATAAGTAGTCAAATACTAGAAATATGGGACACTAAAACAAAATATATTGTACAACATAATCCTGAACTTAAATCTACACCTCATTCAACTGGTAAGCTGACAGACACCCTGAAACATGGAAGAAGTTACTTCACTTAAGCACACTGGACCAGCACATTATAGAAACAGCCAATGCCAATTTTAGCTGCCTCAAACTGCTTAGGGTATGTGTGTGTGTGTGTGTGTATTCTCAAATGGTAAAATTTGAGGGAAAGTTCCCAGATTCCTTAGATAATAGAAGTTATGGATCCTTGCTTCAAACACACACACACACGTACGCGCGCACACACACGTACTTTTAAGCGTTGAAACCTATCATAAATCACAGCATTGTTGATTCAGTGGGGTTACAAATGAGAAGTTTTCATATTGCTAATAAAGACTGGTAACTAAACTTATGAAATAGCTTTTGAAAGTACAAGAAAGTGCAGTGACCATATCCATTCATTCGTGTCTCTTTTGCTAGCTCTAATAGTGATTGGTTGATGCAAATGTGTCCCTAATCTAGTCTATAAATATTAAAAACAAAAATGTTTAAGTTCTAACTTCTGCTAGCAGTTAATGTAACAATTTTCAAGTACTACAAAATATTGCGAAGGAAAGACTTTAATATACCACTCTCAAATTCCAATATACCAAAACCAGCAATGAAATGTCTGAATATGCAATTTGTTGCCTTGAGCAAAACTTAAGAATATAAAGACACAATAGCTCTAACCTTCAAGGATGGGAAACCAGTATCTCCCAAGAAGTTTGTTTTAATAGAATTGAACATTTAATTTTTTCCTCATAATAATCAAAGCAAACATTTTATCAGTATTACTCTTGGTATATCAAACTGAATTCCAGGAATGTAAGAAAGTCTGACTTGAAATATTACATAGAAAAAAGGTTGAATTAACAAACACATTACATTTTTTAGTTATTTTTTCTAAGTATACATTGACATCTACTTATCTGATAGCAGCACTGCTGGTTTTGAGTTTTGTTTTTTTTTTTTTTTTTCCTTCCAGAGGGAATGCAGAATGGCAGTAATATCTTTGGAATAAATTAAGAAGATAGTAACAAATAACAGAGGAATAACTTTTACACATATATCTTTCAAGGGTAATAAATAGATAAGTATATAATTATGGAAAAATACGCCTCAAATATGCTTTTTAAAATTTCTCAGGATTTACCGTTTTGTTTTTTCTTATTAAAATATAATGCTCTGTCACTACTATCTGTTCTAGGAAAAACAAACCATAAGGTTTAGGTTCCTCCTCCACCAACAGAGTGATATCAAGAGTAAACTTCAAGTTGCTTGAGCCAAGGGAGAATTCTGTAGTAATTTGATTACTTCACTAACGTACACATATTTTAGGTTATTAATGAGAGACTCACCAAATATTTTGTATCAAAGTGTTATACCTCAAACAGGTTCTTTGATGATTTATCATGCTAGTATAGGAAATCTGAAGGACTAACAAATGTTATATAACATAACCAGACATGCAATACAGAAGGACATGACATAAAAGATATAGTTTGACCCTGGATTTTTCCCTTAGAATAATTCCTTCCATAAATAAGACTTTACTTTTTATTTTTACATACAGACTCATCCTATAAATAGTCCTGGATCATGGAGAATGTTAAGGACATAGCTTAAGAACTCTAGACCACTTTTTTTGTAGTCTATTGTCACCCCAGACCACAAAAAACATTCTCCAAGTGGATGCTCAGGTTAGATAAAGATGCTCTTAAATTTACTGAGGCTTAGAATGTAAATCACAGAACTACTTGCAGCAGCAACAGTCTTTTCAAAAATGATTAAATCAAACTTTTAAATATAAAGCATATATAAAAAGGACTATTAAGGATAGTAGAAATACAGGAAAATATGTGTTGCCTCATAATAAAGTTCAATAAATATTCTTTCTGAATCCTATAAACACTACAAGATGTTATAGGTCTATTTGGTTCCCATAAGTTAAAAAAGTCTGATTGCTTTTACATAAATTCCTCCCAATTCTTACCTATTTTCAAACACATTTTTATTAATGCATTTTGACTAAACTCAGAGATTATATCTCTAACTTCCTTTCAGAAATGTGCTTTTTTGTTGGCTTTAATAAGTATACTTAATTTTCTAGCAAATAAACATGATTTAAATTTTAAGGTTCAAGGTAATTCTAGAAAAAGGTAGACATCTGAACTATCTGCTTTTCTATATTCCTGTATTTACAAGGCCTAGCATCCACTGTGGTTTCCTTCTTATACTCAGTTATCGCACTTTCAATAAATAGTAACTGTAGTACAAGTTACCTATATTAAAGATTTCAAAATTCCTCAAAATTTCACAACACTACAAAGTCATTAATATCTGATTTGATAGAATATGAGTATTAGTGTTATGTAATTTTTTTGCTATTGGAAAAGAAATACAAATTATTTTTTCTATCTAAATTAAACCCAACCTCCATTATCAGTTCTCAACATAGTGTCTAAAATGTACATTCCTAAAGAAAGGTAAAGCTGTTCAAGGGCTGAACTAGTCCAATACAGGATTAAAGGTTATTTATTTCTGTTATTGTTTGTCTTGGTTTGTTTCTTGTTTGTGTGTGTGTGTGTGTGTGTGTGTGTGTGTGTGTGTGTTTTCTTTTTATATCACTATATTAACCCCCTGGTTTCTCTTGGATTAGATAATAATTTAACATTGTAAAAATTAATTTCAGAAACTATTGTGCTAATGTTTAGATTTCAGGAAGGAATCAGACAAAATCAGTTACCTCCATTCATTGTTAGAACAGAAGATAAAATAGCTTACTAACTGATATGAGTTATGAATGTCACTATGACACAAAATTTGCTGTGATTTGCTTATTTGGCTACAAGTGCAGTATTTTTCATGAATGATACCACACAGCATTTCCAACTTGTAACATGAAACTCCAGCTCACGAAAAGTGTACTGTGTGACTTGAAAAAGTCTGATTGAAACTAAGTAACAACCTTTCCCCTGAAAAACATGAACAAAATCCATTGGGAAATCAGGCACAGACGGTATTTATCGGTTTTTCTTCCTTTCTTCCTGTGGTTTTGTTTCTCAAGACATATAGATGCATCCAACAGAACCCACCACTTGTTACAAAATGACACAGCTATTTTTGTCCTTTTCTTTTTCTTTGTCTTTTTCTCGAGGTTCCTTTCGTTTACGTTCAACATTCCCAGATTGTCTTCCACTTGATGGAGAGGCTTGTGCTGGCTGGCTTTGCTTTAAGAAAAATAAACAGGAAGAAATTACCTCAACTTTCTAAAGTGCTTAATCATAGTTATCTAGAAAGAAAAACCTTAAGAGTGAAAGGAATCACTAATGAAAAGTTATTTGGACAAAGACTTGTCATGTTACATGGTATCTGAGTAATTGCCTCTATAATTTTACATAGATCTAATTAAGGTATCAATTATTAGAAATAAAAGAAATTTCAAACAGTAAATAATATGGAGGATTATATCCCCTGAAGCCTCAAATTCAAGAAATATTTGTTAAAGTTTAGAAAATGTTAAAGAAGTTGACAACTTTTGGTAAGCTAAGTTCCCCAAGACCTCATAAATATTATAATAAATAGATTTTCAAGGAGGGAAAAAAAATGCTGAGAACTTTGAATGTGAAATAAGTGTATTCTGTGAAATAAGATGTTTTTAGTGAAAAGCTAGTGAAAATATGGTAGGTTTTAAATTTTAAGCTTGGAGTAGTAAATATTTTAACTAAAAATAGAAACACTTAGTTTAATGCAGACCTCTATGTTTAAAATTTCATCAGACCTTAAAGGGCATCTTATTTTCTTTGTATCCCAAGTCAGAGGCACAGTTCTGGCATAGTACAGTTAAACATAAAAGAAGGAAAATATTTTTTCATTTAATAAAATGAGATTTAACAGAAAGGAACCCACTTATTAGTCATATTTGCAGTACTTAAAAAACATTTAACTGGGAAGAGTGAAAAGTGAAAATATGCTAACCTTTGCTGAATACTTGGTACATGTCATACACTGGGTTAAGTACTAACATTATTTGTCCTTAACCAGGAATCTAAGAGTTAAGCATTATCTTTTATTTTCAAGATAAGCCAAATAAGGCTGAGAGACATAGGAGGGCTCTGTTCCCCTATTAAGGGGTTACAGAAGCACGAAATGCAATCCACGTCTATCTGGCTCTGAAGTCTACCCTCTTACCAGTAGTACCTCATACTGCCCTGTAATTGTTACAAAAGGCTTTTTTCCAATTGGTTTATATTCTTTGGAGCTATTAAGAACTTAAATTTGATTCAGTTGCACCAAAAATAATAATATGCCTAGGAATAAACCAAAGAGATGAAAGATCTATACTCTGAAAACTATTTAACATTGATGAAAGACACTGAAGATGACACAAAGAAACAGAAAGACATTCCATGCTTACTAATTGTAAAATATATATGGTTAAAATGTCTATACTACCCAAAGCAATCTACAGATTTAATGAATTCCTATCACATAATACCTACACCATTTTTCACAGAACTAGAACAAACAATCCTAAAATATGTATGGAACCACAAAAGATACCAAATAGCCAAAGCAATCTTGAAAAAGAACAAAACTGGAGGCATCACAATTCTAGACTTCAAATTATATTACAAAGCTGTAGTAATCAGGGGCACCTGGGTGGCTCAGTCGGTTAAGCATCCGACTTGAGCCCAGGTCATGATCTCACAGTTCGTGGGTTCGAGCCCGGCATCAGGCTCTGTGCTGATAGCTCAGAGCCTGGGGCCTGTCTTTGGATTCTGTGTCTTCCTCTCGCTCTCTGACCCTCTCCTGATCATGCGGTCTCTCTCTCTCTCAACAATAAATAAAAACATTAAAAAAAAAAACTTAAAAAAAACCAAAGCTGTAGTAATCAACAAAGTATGATACCGGCACAACAACAGACACATAACATCAATGGAATGGAACAGAAAATCCAGGAAAAAACCCACAGTTAAAATGGTCAACTAATCTTTGACAAAGGAAGAAAGAATATGTAACAGAAAAAATCTCTTCAACAAATGGTGCTGGGAAAATTAGACAACTACATGCAAAAGAATGAAACTGGACCACTTTATTACACCATACATAAAATAAACTCAAAATGGATTAAGGACCTAAATGCAAAACCTGAAACCATAAAAATACTAGAAGAGAGCACAGGCAGTAATTTCTCTGACATACACAATAACAACATCTTTCTAGGTCTCCTGAGGCAAGGGAAACAGAAGCAAAAATAAACTATTCAGACTACATCAAAATAAAAAGCTTTTGCAAAGCAAAGGAAGCAATCAACTAAACTAAAAGACAACTTACTCAACGGGAAAAGATATTTGCAAGTGATTATCTGATAAAGGGTTAGTATACAAAATATAGAAAGAACTTATATAACTCAACACTAAAAAATCCAAATAATCCAATTAAAAAAATAGGCAAAGACATGAAGAGATCTCTCCAAAAAAGATATACATAAGGTCAACAGACACATGATAAGATGATGATGACGACTCATCATCAGGTAATGCAAATCAAAGCCACAATGAGATACCATCTCACACCTGTCAGAATGGCTAAATTAAAAAACAAGAAACAACAAGTGTTTACAAGGATGTGGAGAAAAAGGAACCTTTGTGCATGGTTGGTGGGAATGAAAATTGGTGCAGCCACTCTAGAAAACAGTATGGAGGTTCCTCAAAAAATTAAAAATAGAACTAACCTGTGATCCAGTAATACACTATGGGGTATTAACCCAAGGAATACAAAACACTAATTCAAACGGATATATGCATGCCTATCTTTACTGCAGCACTATTTACAATAACCAAATTATGGAAGCAACCTAAGTGTCTAGCAAAAGATGAATGGAGAAAGAAAATGTGCTGTAGGGGCGCTTGGGTTATGCATTCAACTTCAGATCGGATAACAACCTCATGGCTCAGGAGGAGTTTGAGCCCTGTGTTGGGCTCTGAGCTGTTAGCTGTTAGAGGTGCCTGGTTTGAATTCTGTGTCTCCCTTTCTCTCTGCTCCTCCCCCACTCACACTCTGTCTCTCTCTCTCTCTCTCTCAAATATAAACATTTTAAAAAATGTGGTAGATATACAATGGAATATTATTCAGCCATTTAAAAAAAATGGGGGTTACTGGTGGCTGAGTGGGTTAAGCATTCGACTTCAGCCCAGGTCATGATCTCGCAGTTCACAAGTTCAAGTCCCACATCAGACTCTGTGCTGACAGCTCAGAGCCTGGGACCTGCTTTGGATCCGTGTCTCCCTCTCTCTGCCCCTCCCCAGCTTGTCCTCTGTGTCTCAAAAATAAAAACATTAAAATAATGAAATACTGGGGCCCCTGGGTGGCTCAGTTGCTTAAGCATCCAGCGTCGGCTCAGGTCATGATCTCATGGTTAGTAGGTTCAAGCCCCACATTGGACTCTGTGCTGACAGCTCAGAGCCTGGAACCTCCTTTGGATTCTGTGTCTCTCCCTCTCTGTCCCTTCCCCGCTCATCCTCTCTCTCTCAAAAATAAACATTTAACAAAAATGAATCTTGCCATTTATAATAATATGGGTGGTGCTAGAGAGTGTAATACTAATGAAATAAGTCAGAGAAAGAAAAATACCATATGATTTCACTCATACAAGGAATTTAAGCAACAAAACAAGTGAACAAAGGGGGAAAAAAGACAAAACAAAACAGACCCTTAACCACAGAGAACAAAAAGATGCTTCTCAGAGGAGAGGGGGTGGGGGAAATAGGTGAAGGGGATTAAAAGAACACTTAACTCGATGAGCACTGAATAATGTATAGAATTGTTAAATCACCGACCTGTACACCTGAAACTAATAGAACACTAGGTTAACTCTACTGGAATTAAATTTTTTAACTGAAAAACCTTGTCCTCAGAATCTCAGGAAAAATAATTTCACTAAATGAGAAGGAGATTAAGATCAACACAAACTTAGGACAATACCATAAAATCCACGAGTGTTAAAATGCTAAGGTAATTGAAGAGTTAATACCTAATTTAAAAATACTTATCTCTACACGAATCCTGGCTTTTACCTGGGCCTGTGAAGAAGCAGAAGCAGCAACTACTGCTGCTGCTTGTTCCTGTTCCTGATAATATTGAGAAGCCCGTCTATCCTCTTCTTCTTGGAGTTTCTTTGCTAGTTCCAAATCACTGATTCCTTCGGGTATTTGTTCCCAGTTGATCTCTTGGCTCTGCTGTTCTTGTTGTAGAGATAATGCCATAAGATAGTCCTAAGAAGTCAAATTTTAACCCTCTTTAGCTATGAGATTTTACTCAAGAACTGATGAGTGTAAATGCAGAGGTTGCACCTAGAAAACTATGAGAAAGGCTTTTAAAAACCACACCAAAGCTTAAATATAAAAATCAAAGTTATCTAAGTATTTCTGTTTGAGAGCTATAATTTCAGTGATGCTGCCATTGTTCAAAATATTCTTGGAATTCATTTAAAATTATTTCTAGAAGTAGTATAGAAGTCATTCAAGAAAGCTTTAAAAACAACTCCCCTAGGAGTGCCTGGGTAGCTCAGTGGGTTAAGCGTCCAACTCTTGATCTTGGCTAAGTCTTGATCACGGGTCATGAGTTCAAGCCCAGCACTGGGTGTGAAGCCTACTTAAGTTACAAAAAGCAAAACAACTCCCTAAAACCCAAAAAGAAATTTAAAAAAATTCGCAAAACTCCCCCTAGGGGTGCCTGGCTGGCTCTGTCTATAGACCATGCAACTCTTAATCTTGGGGTTGTGAGTTCAAGCCTGACGTTGGGCACAGAGCCTACTTTAATTTAACAAACAAAAATAAAATAAACCTTGCCCTATTTATGAAAGAAACACATCTGCAGAAAATTGACATAAAATAAAAAAGGATAAATAAGAAGTTAAAATTACCATATCATTATGCAAGGATAACTATTATTATTAACAATTGATCTATATCCACCTAGCTTTTTCTACATTCACACACAAACTCAAATACATCTTCCAACCCACATTTAATGTCAAAAAGAGTCTTATTTTTTTAAATAAGAATTTCCCCCAAATCATTTATTAAATGGTCTTCCAAAACATGATTTTTAAAGCCAACATAGTTGTCCAACATACAGTCATATTCAGTTACGTAAACACCTCTTCCTCCCTCCTCCCATACACCCAAATTATCTCCTCTGAGAACAAGTGATGCATCTTCGGTTGAAAGTTGTATAATATGGAGTGCCTGGGTGGCTTAGGTGGTTAAGTGCCCAACTTCAGCTCAAGTCATGATCTCACGGTTTTTGAGTTTAAGCCCCAAGTTCGACTCTGCTGACAGCTCAGAGCCTGGAGCCTGCTTCAGATTTTGTGTCTCCCTCCCTCTTTCTCTGTCCCTCCCCAGCTTGTGCACATGCATTCCCTCTCTCTCAGAAATAATAAATGAGTAAACTTAAAAAAAAAGTTGTATAATCTAACTTAACACCCACGTTCATTGAGAATTAGTACTGAATGAAACTTGACTACACTGTGCATCTCCCCCAATCTATCCTCAAAATAAGAGAATTTTAACCACCCACAGAAGATATCTAAAAGGTCCATTGTCTGTGAAGACTTTGCACTATCTAGCATGAATATCTGGTATTTTTTACATACAGTGTTAGAAAAATCATGCACATTTCTCAAGTAATATATATATATATTTTAAATACCCTGATAAAGTTTCTGAAGGAAAGTATGCATGTTGATTATTATAGCTATTTGGATACTTAACTTCCAAAAGTCCTAGAAAGATTAGCATCTTTGAATCAAGTAATCTTCTGTGCATTTATAGCTTACTATTCAAACTGCCATTACAGAGTCTGACATATAATTATTAGTTGCTCAAATATCTGCCTCTCTGTTAGACTACAGAACTGTGAGGAAAGTGCTACTTGATTTATCTGTGAGTCCCCAGGAGCTTGTTACCAGTAACAGGAATACAACTGCTCAATGATTATTGGCTAAATGAACAGTCTATCTTATCTACGTAAATTATTATCAGCATTAGAAACATGTGCCAAATGTTCAACATGACCATATTTCTGCCTCAGTCAGGGAAGAGGCCACATCACTGTTATACTTCCAGTGGTAAACACTCTGTGGCTCCAACACTGCCCACCTATAGCAGGCAAAGATCTCATCTACCTCAGTTCTAAATGAGAATTCTACTTACTTGAGCAGCACTTGCTGTAAATGTCTGATTACCTTGGACTCTAAGGCTTAGAAGTTTTACTTTTTACCCACTGCATGCTATCTTCAACACTCTTTTTTTCTACTTTTTCTGACTAGCCAAAATCTCAAATCTGTGCTCAGCTCATCTCTAGCACCAGGGCTCAGCCATCATCACCTCTTGCTTGAATTGCTAGTCTCTGCTTATACCTGTGTCGTTCCTATGCATGCTTCACATAGCAGCCTTTAAAAAAGGTAGCTTATCTCACTTCCATGTTTAACACTTGCCATATCTTCCCTACTGCAATTAAAATAAAATTCAAACTCTGTACCATGACCTTCACAGTTTAATATAATGTGGCCTTCTGAACCAAAGTGTATAATCAACATACAACATGTAAAATGATCATTTACTGATTTAGAAAACGAGGGGAAAATTTCACAAGCATATAAATGAATAAAGCTTTAGTTCAAAAGTTTTGGATAACTGATTTCACATTTGAAAGGAGCATTTTAATTTTTTTAAGTTTATTTTTTGAGAGAGAGACAGAGATAGCGTGAGTGGAAAAGGGGCAGAGAGAGGAGAGAGAGAATCCCAATCAGGCTCTGCACTACTAGCGCAGAGCCTGATGAAGGGCTCAAACCCATGAAGTTGGGAGATCATGACCTGAGCTGAAACCAAAAGTTGGATGCTTAACCGACTGAGCTACCCAGATGCCCCAAAAGGAATGAACATTTTATTTATTTATTTATTTTTTATTTATTTCTAGGAGAGAGAGAGAGACAGTGTGAGCAGGGGAGGGTCAGAGAGAGAGGGAGTCACAGACTGAAACAGGCTCCAGGCTCTGAGCTGGCAGTCAGCACAGAGCCCGACGCTGGGCTCGAACCCACGAACCGCGAGATCATGACCCAAGCGAAAGTCGGACGCTCAACCGACTAAGCCACCCAGGCGCCCCAGGAATGAACATTTTAAATGATAGGAAAAGAAAGCAAATCTACCTGATCTATCTGATCCTGTTGTCCTCTGTATACGGTTTCAGGATCTGAAGGAGGCCGCAGATGAAATTCTGAGTCGCAGAAATTTCCATCACCATCCACATTGTGTAGGCTTTCCCAAACAACTTTTTCTTCTGTAAGAAACCCCTGGTCTGTTACCAGCAAATACAGTAGACCCTTAATAAGAAAGAAAAAAGACTGTTAAATTGATCAAAACTAGTTAATATTTAAGGGAAATTTTATCACTTGTATGTTTAAAGCATATTAACAATTCCTGGTAGTTAGATACAATAAATAGCAGACACAGTAGATACCTTATTTGTTCAGTGAATTAAATCTATCTGGGTTTGAATATAGTTCATAATTGGCATACTATAGTATAAGGACAATTGGGAAGCTGCTGGCAGATTCAACTACCACACGACTTATAAATAGACTTTGGGGGTGTATAATCTCATTTTATATAACAGAAATAAAATCTACAAGTTCCTTAAAAACCTATCAGGTAACAAATATTACAGTCGCAACAAAATGATATCACATTGCCTGCTTATTAAAAAAATTAAGCCTGTAACTAACCTAATCCATACTAATTTTATCTTTTTCTGCACCATTAGCTGCTCTTCTTTTGTATACCAACAGTACTTGGTACTTATTTCTATTACAGCACTGAATCACATTGTGCCAGGATTGTGTTTCCCCGCATCATTTCCAGACTATATTTTTAAATCTCTCTATCTCTGGGCCTAGAGTAGGGTGCATTATAAAGTTGAAGCCTAAATTTATTGCATCAATTAATGAATTCATTTGTATTTATAGTCACTACCACAGAATTTAGTACTGCCCTCTAATTTTTCATATGCATTAGTTCTAAGTCCAATCATATGCAAAGTGTCCCTAGTATAAATTTATAAGCTATTTTTTCTTCAGATCTGCCAAGGATATGGCTTTCATTTTACTTGCTCAGGTTTCCCACCGGTTAATATAGTATTTATTATTGCACAAGATTCATGCTTTTCATGTTCTTTCATCACAATTAATCTTGGAAATTAAGAATAAGAAATTCCTTTAGACAGTTTGGTGGTAGGGTTAGAGAAATCACTGAATAGATCCACAACTATATGGTCAATTCATCTTCAACAAAGCAGGAAAGAATATCCAATGGAAAAAAGACAATCTCTTCAACAAATGGTGTTGGGAAAACTGAATAACAACATGCAAAAGAATGAAACTGGCCACTCTCTTACACCATACACAAAAATAAATTCAAGATGGATGAAAGACTTAAATGTGAGACAAGAAACCATCAAAATCCTAGAGAACACAGGCAGTAACTTCTTTGACATCAGGCCATAGCAATTTCTTACTAGATATGTTTCCTAACACAAGGTAAAAAAAAGCAAAGACAAATAATTGGGACTTCATCAAGATAAAAAGCGTCTATACACCGAAGAAAACAATCAACAAAACTAAAAGGCAACTGACAGAATGGGAGAAGGTATTTGCAAATGACATGTCAGACAAAGGGTTAGTGTCCCAAATATATACAGAACTTATACAACTCTATACCCCCCCCCCCCGATAAATAATCTGGTTAAAAAATGAGAAGACATGAATAGACATTTTCCCAAAGACATCCAGATGGCTAACGGACACATGAGAAGATGCTCAACATCACTCATCATCAGGGAAATACAAATCAAAACCACAATGAGGTACCACCTCACACTTGTCAGAATGCTAAAATTAACAACCCAGGAGACAACAGGTGTTGGCAAGGATGTAGAGAAAGGGGAACCCTTTTACACTGTTCATAGGAATGCAAACTGGTGCAGTCACTCTGGAAAACAGGATGGAGGTTTGAAAACAGGATGGAGGTTCCTCAAAAAGTTAAAAATAGAACTATCCTATAATCCAGCAATTGCACTTCTAGGTATTTACTCAAAGGATACAAAAATACTGATTCAAAGGGATACATGCACCTCGAAGTTTACAGCAGCATTATCAATAGCCCAATTATGGAGGGAGCCCAAATAGCCATCTACTGGTGAATGGATAGAGAAGTTGTGCTATATACATATATAATAGAATATTACTGAGCCATAAAAAAGAATGAGATCTTGTGATTTGCAATGACAAGAAATCATTAAATAAACTCTGAAGCTTTAAGAAAACTAATTATTTTTGAACATTTACTATGTGTCCAGCTCTGTGCAGCACAGCTGTTCCTAAAATATGAAATCCATCCTGTTGTCTGCTACTAGTTACATCCAAAAGTTAGCTCTAGATACTGATTAATTTATATGGTCACTGAAATTACTGTATCAACATGAAAACTAATCATAAAGACAACAACTTGACAAGAAACTATTTGTAAAAGAAAGAAAGAAAGAAAGGGAAAGAAAGAAAGAAAACTAATCATAAAGAAAAACATTTTGGCATAAAAAGTTTAAAGACTTTGCTTTAAGCAAAAAATTAAGTCCAGGCTAATTTTTTTTTAAATCAAGTAGGTTCCAATTCATCAAATATTTGAAGACCTACCATAGGCTCAGTACTAAGTGCTTGAGGATTCTTATCATGGAAAGCAATGATCTCTCCTTACTTTGTATTAGGTACCCCTTTTATGTGATTCCATAGAATCCTGCACTTACCACTATCATAGCACTTTACACATTGAATTGTAATTTTGTGCCTATTCACTTCTCTGTCTTAATGTATTTCAAGCTCCTTGAGGACCAGAGCCACGTTTTATTCATCCTTGCATCCTCATTACTTAATATATTTTTAATGCCCAGTCAGGGTCTACTTTGTCCTAAAATAATTTAAGAGAAAATAACTTAGGAGAAAACCTAAAAGTTCTTTCCAGCCAATATTCCACTACTGAATAAATCTGACCCTTCTATACCTATACTTGTCACGGTGCATTTTAACATATCATTATATTATACAATATTGAGGTTTTACAATTTATTTTATGTAAATCATATATTAGAATGGCTACTAACTAGGAAAGAAACCACAGTCTTACTCTCCGAATGACACTTTAAGATGGGTAAATTCTAGAGGCACCTGGGTGGCTCAGGTGGTTAAGCATCCAACTCTTGATTTTTGCTCAGGTCATGATCTCATGGTTCATGGGACTGAGCCCCATACTGGGCTCTGTGCCAACAGCATGGAACCTGCTTTAGATTCATTCACCTTCTCTCTGCCACTACCCTCCCCCCGCCACCTGCTCATGCTCTTTCTCTCTCTCAAAAAAATAAATAAACTTAAAAAAAGTCAGTTAAGCGTCCAACTTTAGCCCAGGTCATAGTCTCACAGTTCATGAGTTCGAGCTCCACATCGGGTTCTCTGCTGTCAGCACAGAGTCTGCTTCAGATTCTTCGTACTCCTCTCTCTCTACCCTCCCCCATTCTCTGTCTCTCTCAAAAATAAACATTTAAAAAGTGGGTAAATTCTGGGAGGGTTTGTTGAAAGCCATTACCATTCATAGTATATGAATATTTGTAAGCTTAACTAAAATGGTGTCCGTTTCTTGAAACAGATGACCTGTCTTCTCATGGACCATCAGCCTCAAAGCCTCAATTTCTTCCTCTCTTAGATCTTGACATTTATCAAAAAAGTCTGTGACTAGTCCACTGTCAACAATGCTGGTTGTTACTCAACAGTGCCTTTATATAACTGCATTGTAGAATAGGAAAGTATGTATTAATATACTACTGAATAGTTTAGGCCCATTTGTTCCTGAGAGTGTACAATTAAATTACCATCAAGAATATTTCTTGTTTTTATACCCTAGCACTTTTGCTTCTTTATCTAGTCAAAGCATTCTTTTCTAAACCTTGAATCTTCTTCACAATCTTACTCACCAGTCTCTAAATACTAATTTTTAAAAAAATAACAAATAAAGGGGCACCTGGGTGGCTTAGTCAATTAAGCGTCTGACTCTTCATTTAGGCTCAGGTCATGATCTCATGGTTCATGAGTTAGAGCCCTGCATCTAACTCTGTGCTGTCAGAGTTGGGATTCTCTCTCTCCCTCTCGCTTTCTGCCCTTCCCCTGCTGGCGTTCTCTGTCTGTCTCTAAAAAAATAAACACTTAAAAGGCTCATGTCTATCATGGGAACACTGCTCAATAAATATATCATTATTAAAGGAAAAAATAATGAATACAAGATGCATATATTAAATTCTAATTAGGTATCACACTTGATCTTAGCCAGAAGGCCGAGAAGCGATTAAATTCTTAAATTAGGTATTAATGTATAAATCCTTTATTATATGGTAACAATAAAGAAATGACATTAGATACTTTTTATAATTTTATTAAAAACTAGATAATTGGACTCTGGAGAACAGTATGGAGTTTCCTCAAAAAGTTAAAAAAAAGTTAAAAATAGTGCAATTGCACTACTAGGTATTTATCCAAGGGATACAGGTGTGCTGTTTCTAAGGCGCACATGCACCCCAATGTTTATGGCAGCATTGGTGACAATAGCCAAAGTATGCAAAAAGCCCAAATGTCCATCGACAGATGAATGGATAAAGAAGATATGGTATATATAGACGGTGGAGTTATTAGCAATCAAAAAGAATGAAATCTTGCCATTTGCAATAACGTGGATGGAACTAGAGTGTAATATGTTACGTGAAATTAGTCAGAAAAAGACAAATCTCATATGACTTCACTCATGTGTGTGAAATTTAAGATATTAAACAGATGAACATAAGGGAAAGGAAGCAAAAATAATATAAAAACAGGGAGGGGGACAAAACATAAGAGACTCTTAAATATAGAGAACAAACTGAGGGTTGCTGGAGGGGTTGTGGGTGTGGGATGGGCTAAATGGGCAAGGGGCATTAAGGAGGATACGGGATGAGAACACTGGGTGTTACATGTAGGGGATGAATTACTGGATTCTACTCCTGAAATAATTATTGTACTCTATGCTAACTAATTTGGATGTATACTTAAAAAAATAAACAAACAAACAAAGAAAACTAAGCAATTGGATCACCAAAGACAGAATAAAAAACTATTCTACCTCAAATACCCTGATAGAGGTGCCTGGATGGCTCAGTCATTTAAGCATCCAACTTTGGCTCAGGTCATGATCTCACAGTTCGTGGGTTCGAGGCTTGCGTTGGGCTCTGCACTGACAGTTTAGAGCCTAAAGC